ATATATATATATATATATATATATTAATATAATAAAATTTTATAATAATTTATTTTATTAATGTTATTATATAATAACAAATTTTTCCTTAATATTATTAATAATATGATTTTCAATGCTCCTCAAATATTGTGGCAAAAAATTATATTTTTTGTTCAATATATATTCAACATTACAACAATATCTTGTAATCAATGTAGAAAAATTAACATATATTCTTTGCAGAAAAAACACCTGCACTTTTTATCTACAACGTCTCATCAATGTTTTTTCAACGTTCTGTGCTGTATGGGATCTCTGATCCGCAAATGAGACTGATATAACCCGCACGCGTGAAGTCGCACGCGTGCGAGCAATATGAATCTCATATGAGAGCAAATCCGTTTAGTGATTTTATATATACAATACAATTTTAAATTTAAAAATATAAAAGTATTTATTATTGAAGTTGATTATAGGTTTGTTCGCGTCGCATTCCCTAACGTGCTCTTACTCGCTTCAACTCTGATTGGTAGTGATGTGAAACAATCAGAGTGCGTTGGAGCGAGTAGGAGCACACCCTTATAGAAATATCATACTAAGAATCATTGATAATTACTTATTTTCAGTATTAAAAATACTGGATAATAAGTAATTATCAATGATTTTTAGTATGATATTTCTATAAGAGCATTGGGATATGCGACGCGAAATAAACATTATATGAAATTAATACATATAAATTAATACATGCATTTTTGGTTTTGCATTAACAATAATAAGCACGTGCATGCAGTTCAGTATATATTAACTCAAGGAGTTCATGTCGTGATTGTACCCTTACAGAAATATTATACTGAGAATCATTGATTAATTATTTATTTTCAGTATTAAAAGTACAGTATTTAGTAATATTCTGTGATTCAAATATAGCTTTTAGTGCTCAAGTATAAATATTTAATGTTACAAATATTCCCTTATGATTGATTTCAATACTTAAATATTGATATGTAATACTTCGTCCAGTGATAAAATACTTACGCAGAGCATTGTCAATATTTAAATACTAATATATAATACTTTGCTAAGTGATAAAATACTTACGCAAAGTACTGTTAAGGTTTAAGGTATTAACACAGACATCACACACTATTAGTAAGTTATTAAATAAATATTTTTATAAATATTTATATATATGTTTTGAATTACTTTTTTAAAATATTATATAAGTATTTTATATATACATAAAGAGAGAGAAAAATTATGAAAATTTATATTCTAAATATTATTAAAATATAGAAATATCTAAATATCTAAATATTTTATATAATATTTATTATAAAGAAAAATATTAATATTTTGTAAATATTTCTATAAATATTGTACATGAAAAATATGAATATAATTATTTATAATTATTAGGTGGTAAACTTAGATCCTGCGGCTCACAGTTAGATGACGTTAGTTGTAGGTGTAATTTATTTTGACATCTGAAACTGGCTGCATTTTAGAGGTTAGACATTTGTCAATAAAATTCAGTGCGAAGAGATTCATTTAAGCGAGCAGTGCTATTTTTTCTTTTGATTAAATATGGAA